GAAGAAGGGTCTAGGCCCGAAACGCCAGCTTTCCTGCTCCTCTGATGCTGCTTGGCCTGCTGTGTTCATCCAGCTCTACACCTTGTTATCTTGGACTCATGACCTGCTTGGTTACTCCATAAGACTGACTGTGGCCTCAAATATGCATTCCTGCTGACCCCTGATTACCTTTCAACCTCTGTCTTAACAAGAATTTATCTACCTGAGCTTGAAAATATTCAAGCTCGAGAAAATGTTCCATCTTTCTAGGAAGAGAGTTTCAGAGTTTCAAAGGTTCACAGCTTGGCTATGCTAAATTGCCTGTAGTCTTCATGGGTGTGTAGATTAGGTGGGTTATAGGGGTATGGGTCTGGGTGGGATGCTCCAAGGGTCACTGTGGACTTGTTGGGCAGAAGGGCCTGTTTCCACACTGTAGGGAATCTATCCTATGAAAGAAATTCAACTTGCTGTTTTAAATGGGCAACCCCTTATTTTTAAGTAGTGACTCCTAGTTCTTGATTCTCCCACGAGAAAATTACTTTGCACATCCATCCTGTTGAGATCCCTTAACTACTTGCATGTTGTAATCAATTTGCCACTTACCCATCTAGAAATAAGCGAATGTTAACCTAGCCTGTCCAAACTTTACTCCTAAGGCAGCCACTAATCCCTTCTCTGAGCTTCTTCCTTGAAGAAGGTGACCAATACTTGTACCAGTGCTCCAGATTTGGTTTCACCGTTGCCCTGTATAACAGAAGTGCAATGTCTCTCCTTCTGTATTGAATTCTCCTCACAGTAAACAATGTTCTTTTAGCTTTCTTACTTCCTGCATATTGACATCTTTTGATTCATGCACAAGGATGTCCAGTTCCCTCTGCCTTGGAGCTCTGCAATCTCTTGCCATTTAGGTAAGGTTTCTTCTCTCTCTTCCTGCCATAATTATCAATTTTATATTTTCCAACGTTATGTTCCATTTCCTAGAACTTTACCCACTTGTTCAACTTGTACTTGTTTTTATAGCTGCCTTGTGTCCTCTTCACAACTTGGTTTCCTCCATATCTTTGTATCACCAACAAATTTGGCATCTGTCCCACCTTCATCCTCAAGTCATTTATATAAATTTCCTGTACCACATCACTTGTTACAACTTGCCAATTTGTGCTTACTCTGCCTGTTAGCCAGCTAACCTATTCCTGTCAATATGCTAACTATTATCTTTTTGACTTCTACAATAACCTTTTGTGTGGCATCTTATCAAATGCCATCTGGAAATCCAAGTACAGTCTATTCACTGGTTCCCTTCATCCATAGCATATGTTACTTCAAAAAAAAGCTCCTATGTGGTTAAATGTGAGGTCCCTTTTATTTAAAGCCATGTTGACTCTGCTTGATTTACCATGAACATTCCTAATCAGAATTACTTCCCTAACATTTCCCACTGACTGGATGTTAAGTTAACTGGCCTATACTTTCCTCTTTATCCACACACTTTTGAACAAAGGAGCTGCAATTGCTATCTTCCCATCTATGGACATTGCCCAAATGAAAGGATTTTATAAAATTCAAACCTGTTGCATCAACTGTCTCTCAAGCAATTTCTTTAAAAATGGAGTCCATCAAGACCCAGATACTTCTGTTTGTAGCTCCAGTAATTTACTGAGTACCATTTCTGTGGTAATCCTAATTTTCCTGAGTTCCTCCCCTCCCTTCCATTTTTCAATTTAGAGCCGCTTCTGAGATATTACATGTACCTTCTAATGATGTCTGATGCAAATTATGCAGCATTTTATATGGCTGGTCTAGTTCTCAATTTCTGGTCCATGGTAAATCCCAGGTTATTGGTGGTGCAGGATTCGGCAATAGTGATGTCATTAAATGCTAAAGGAAGATGAGTGGCTTCTGTCTTGTTGGAGCTGGTCACTTTCCAACACTGACATGAATGTTACTTGCCACTTATGAGCCTGAGACTGAATTTTGTTCCGATCCTGCAACCTATTGACATGGATTGCTGTAGCTTCTGAGGAGTCACTAATGGCACTGAAGATTGCCTGCAGTCACATGATGCCTGGTTATACTCCATGTTTACTTGAAATTCCAGGCTTTTGGAGCATAGCCCCTTTGTCGGGTGAAGTGAGAGAAGCACTTGACGAAGCTTGTGATTTTAAAAAAGAAATCCATGGAATATAGCCTGGTGTCATGTGACTTCTGACTTTGTCCACCACAGGCCAACTTGGTGTCTCGGCACCACTGAAAATTGCAATCGGCAGTGAGCACCTTTGTCTGACTAGAAGGAAGATCATTTTGAGGAAGCAGCTGAAAATGAAGCATTAGCCTGAATAACACACCAATTTTCTGTGTTTGAGATGATTGACCTCTGATAATCATAACCATCCTACTTTTTGGTAGATCTGGCTCCAGCCAGAAAAGAGCATATTCCTGATTCCGTTGACTGCAGATTTTCGAAGGCACCTTGATTGATATGCTCAGTCAAATGCTGCTATAAAAGCTGACACTCTTGCCTCACCTTGATATTTGGCTCTTCTTGCCCGAGTTTGGACTGAGTTTGGACTGAGTTTGGACTGAGTTTGGACTGAG